CACCCCCCCCAACACCCCCTCCATAATCGCTATCCCCACCACCACCACTACCACAACCACCAACCCACCTTCATCACCTTTATTTAATTCAATTAGATGTAAATGAACCATAACTATGCAACCCTATTCCTAATAGATTAACCCCAAAATAGCATATCCAAATTATAAGAAAGCCCATCACTCCATCGCTACTACTACTACCACATGATTAGTATATAACACTTTCAACATCATGTCTATTTTAGTCATTATTTACAGTTATAATATTTTTATATTAAAATTTACCAAACAGTTTTGACACTGCTTTTTATACTAACAGCACTTTAAAAATATTGTTTACTAAACTTTGAGATGCTTTACTTTACAGCTAATTATTTTCAAAGCACAGCGAAAGTAACTTTTTTTAAAAGTGACAACAATCCCAAACTAGGCCTTAGTAATGCTGGGAAAGTAACCGGGAGATATCACTTCCTTTCCCATGTTTGTTTTGAGTATGAATGGAAAATAAAGTTAGTATAAATTTTCAATTATACCCATATTAAATCAAATGAAAAAAGAATGCATTTAATGATATATTGTAATTCTAAATTGCTAATGGGGACAAAATGGTCATGGAAAATGTTTATTTAATATTGGCTCATTTTCCCAAACTTTTTCATGAGGAGGGAAAACAAAATCCAAGTTTGGAGAATGACTTCTCTTTCCCCCCAACTTTCCCATGAGCCAGACAACGATTTTCCATGCCTGGACTTTACCAAACGTGGGAACGCAACTGATTTCCTATCCCTAAGTCTCCTTTTCCATGAACTAAATAGGGCCTAAGTTCTCAATGGGAATTTGAATCTATATCAACTTTTCGATAAATTATATAAGAAAGGAACTTATGCTATGTTGGGGTGATAATGGATCGACAATTAAATTGCAATCAAATTAATATAATGACATGCACCCTGATTTTTATTTTTTTATTTTACTTAATGGCTGGTCACCCTATGCCTTCAAAATTATGATGTCAAATGACATATGGGGTCATATTCAGTGGAGAACTTTTAAAAAATTTAAATAAAATAAAAAATATTGAAAATCAAGATGGAAAATCACACTTAGAAGTCAAGGATAACGCTTAAAAAAAGGAAGAATGACGTATTTCTGGAATTTTCTGGGTTGCTTGAGCTAGATAAAAGAAAATATTGATTTATTAATTTCTTATTTTGCTGTTAATCGTAAAACAGTCAATCAGGATATTTTATTCCTGATATAGTTTTACCTTTTTAATAATTTGGGATTTTAATTTTCTTATTAGGTAAGTTTTAGGATATTCGTTACGTGCAAACTTTCTTTCTTTTTTCGGGTGCAACATGCCCCTTTTTCTATTGTAGGAGTAGGAAACTTTGTTTCCAGTTTCTGATTTTGCAGTACACAGGATCCCTAATTAATCTTAGGTTATTCTCATATATTCTCCTATAAAAAGAACAGGATCTTTGGCACATGGGTTATTCATTCAATCGATCAACTGATCAACCGAGGAGAGAGTTTAGAGAAAGGAGAGCAAAGTCAGTTTTAAATATTTCATATTGGAGGAGTATATATGATGGAGCTAAAAAATGCAGATTATGAGGCTAACGAAGGAAGATCAAGAGTTAGGGAAGACTACGTACCCCGACCCAGAGCTTTGGAAAGGATTCCACACCAGAATTTCATAGGAACGGTACGTAGTATTTGATAAATTCTTGATTATTATGAAAATTATAGTTTGTATGCCTATTCCAATTTACCTGGCCGTTATATATTCTTTGTCATCTGTCTGCATATGTGTAATTGATTTTTGTTTTCTTCCAGGTTGTGGAAATTGTAAGTGGGGATCACATCATCATTGTGGCTGATGATTCTTTTAAAGATAGCAGTGAACACGAGTATGAAGTTCTTCTTTCAAGTATTTCATGTCCGAAATCGGACGGTAGTGGAGTAGAACGGGAGGTGTATGCCTATGAAGCGAAGGAGTTTGTGAGAGCACTCCTTATTGGTCGTCAAGTATGCATGAGAACTATTTTTTATATGTGTTGTTATCTTAATTATAAAAATCTCATTTTTTTGCCATTGAAGTATATATACCACGAAACATTAATGAACAAACACTTGCATGCAGGTGCATGTTGAATTGGAGTATTCAAGGAAACACGACACAGAAAATATAAAAACATATCACCACGGATCAGTTTTCCTTGTAAATGCTCTTGATGGCCAGAATGTTTCTGAGTTGGTCGTCGCAGAAGGCCTTGCCACTGTTTTGAAACGTGATGATATTGAGGTGGTATCAAACTATTATGATGCCCTTTGTAACGCAGAATCATCGGCTATTCTTAATAAGAAAGGAATGCATTCTGGCGTGGATCCCCTAGTCATGGACATAAAAGACGTGTCAGATGTGAGAATTACCCCATAATTTATAGTAATTATTATTACAAGGGATTAATGTGTTTTCTCTAAGCGTTTTTTCATGCATTGTTTCATTTGATGTGTTTGTTTCAGGCAACGTGGCAGGAAGCTGGTAATGCCAGTAATCATATATTTTTTTACTTATATGGTAAATACAACAAAGTTCCTGCTGTCGTGGAATCTGTAGTTCATACTAACAATAGGAATAAAATTATACTATTCATTCAACAATATGGGGAAACATGGAGGATTGCCTTCTCACTTTATGGTGTCATATGGCCCAGAGATGAGGAGCCCTATGCAGCTGAAGCATTCCGACTTCTGAGGCGAACCATACTCCAAAGAAGGGTGGAGGTGAAGCATTTAGCAATATTTATTTGGTACCCTTGATTTCCCCTTGGGATTTTTTTGTGCTTCGATAAAATTGTGTCTCTTGTACAGGTTGAACTGAGCACTAAGCATCCTATTGATTATGATGGATATTTCGTGGGAACTTTATTGTTGGAGTCAAATACCCATGCGGCAATCCCCCTCCTTCAAGCTGGCCTTGCAAAACTTGCAAAAATGGAAGGAGAGTATCCTAAAGGCGCTTACCACGATGAACTTGATAAAGCTCAGAAGTCTGCAAGAACGAAGAAACTGAAAGTATGTGAAGCAGCATATATATGCATTAAGACAATTGTCTTCCTTTTAACTAACTGTGTTAATAATATTTATTCATTTTGTTGTAGATGTGGGAGAATTATGTTGAACCATCTTACCAATGCACTGGCGCTATGGAGGGAGATAACTAGTATAGGCTAAGAAATTTGAAGAAAATAAATTTTATCGTATAGTTTAGCCTTAGTTCTGTGGGCTACCTTTTGATATACCTCCTGGTTCTCCTTGTTGATCAGTTTTGTCTGCTGTCAATCTATGAAGCTTGTTGCTCTTTTTCCAATTCTCGATTAAAATCATATATCGACAACTCAAGTTACCTACAATAAATTTCAATTTTATTGTTTGTGTTTTAACCTTCCAAAACACCCTTCTAAAGAGGCCATGTGAGAATAGTTTTTCTATTTAAACCCCGCACTTCTCTTTGTTCTAATTTAAATTTTCACAATTTCTAAGAAAATCTCACTATCTTCCGAAACTATCCCTAAATACACACCCATCAAGGAAAAAAAAAATCAACAACCTCACGCCCCACACCATGCTATCTTGCCCCTCACCACTATATAACTAAACCAAGAAATAATATCACATTACATACCTCAATTGACGACGCACAAGCCACTATTTGCATACCGTATTTAGGGTTTGTGAAGAGTAAATGAGAGTGTAGTACATTTCCTTGATTGAAAGAGAAAAGTAATCTGACAATATGGTGTAGAGGAGTTTGTATTTTTCTAGAACTTAATATGAAGAGTGTTGGGTGTGTGTATAGATAAACTAGAGTTGAGTATTAAGTTGGATGACCTTTTTATCTTTTTACACAATAATAAAACTTAAGAACTTAATGATTTAAGTATTATAGTGAAAAAAAGAAGGTGTGAGGTTTAAATATATAAACTCATGTGAGAATATTTATTTATATTCAAAAGTCGCAACATAGGAGCGAACAGTTTTGATAAGCCTCAATAGATAATGAGGTTGATGAGTTGTATTATTTATACTCGGGTAATAGCCTAATAGTAATGAATAATGCTCTAAAGTACTCTTATCGATAAACCAAAATAGGGAAGAAAAAAATAGTATCGCCGTGCCGCTATACCTTTTTTGTTGTAAAAAAAATACAGGTATAGCCGGTTGGCTATACTATTTATTAAAATAGAAAACAGACCCGCCTGGCTCCTTAGGTGCTCATTAAAAAAGCTTATAGCCGAGCGGCTATACAACCTAAATCTGTTCAAAATACAAAATACATGACAGCCCTGCTTGCTTCATATGCCAACTAAATGCGTAATTTAGTATATTCCAACCTTGAGTTGAATTTTTAAATAGGTTCAAAGTATTTACCTTAATTCAGAGAATTATTTGTGAGAGGTGCACTTATTGATCTCAAAGTACAGAGACACAAAAATATTCAATTTCATTGTACAAAGCAACATAACATTTGGCGTCTCGAACACAAATATCATATCATAACATTGATTCTCAGAATAAACAGAAGCTGCTTGTTCACGAGCTCAGAAAACTACAAGGTTATTGCTACTAATCAGAATTCTGGTACGACCTTGCTGCTACGAAAGCATGACCTTGTATTTCTCTGTGTTTTTTCTTTTCTCATTTTTAAGCCCCAAAAAAACAGTAAAATTTATTTATAAAAACCATTAGAAATGTCCCGAAGAGACAAGAGGGCCTTCTACTCAACAGCATGATTCTTCTTGTGAAAAAGCCGAAGTTATACTCCATTTTCTATGTTCTCCTAAAATGACCAGTGGGGTCTTCCACTCAAATTAAGTAACAGAATGATCTTCACCAAAAACAAAGAGAGAGAGAGAGAGAGAGAGAGAGAGAGAGGACACTACTAAAACCAAAATCATACTTAGGTGCCTACTTTGCCCAAAAGATTTACCAGTTGGAAAATTTAAAGGAATCTATTAAATCTTTAATTAGCACCTAGGGGCTAACTTAGTTTATGATAAATTTAGGTAGACCATTAATGCAATAAAGGTTCTGAAGCAATAAAAATATAAGCAGCTTTCTTTGAAGCACCTATCATATGATGGATAGATTCTTGGAATGGCCTTAAAATACAAAGGTCAACACATTTTTTTGATCCAACTAAAAATTATATAGTTGGCTAGGGAATACGATGTCTCATACTTAATTTTTATTATAAATGATCTCCAAAATGTTCAATATGAAGTACAAGGTCAAATTGTTGGTGTGTACGAGGGGAGAACTAAGATTTTTTAAAATGGATTGAATTCAGATTTAAAGAGACAAATTAGAGTATGTTAATGGATGAGCTATGGGCTAAACTAACTTAAGTGAAATTGAAAAAATAAAATAAAAATTGCTATGAGCTAAAGCCCATGCTGATCCTCCATTACTAGGTGTGTTTATACCAAAATGAACAGTCAATAAGCATCGGACACGTGGACCAAATTAGAGCTATGGAAGCCTTCGGCACCTAGCTACAGTTCCATTCTTACCGATCGCACGATTAGGGCAACTCCACCTTCAGGGGCACGTGGAAGTCCCACAATTAGAGTCCACAGTCCCACATCGAAATTCTAAACAACTTGCACACCTCCCAAGGCCTATAAAAGAGGACAACTATCCCAACAAGGGGATAATCAATCAGAACTTACGGCATACTGCCTATTGATTTGTAGTTCAACCTTACTAAATCCGTACTTACTTAAGCATCGGAGAGCCTTCGGTCGGTACCACACCGGTGCCCCAGGTCTTACCGAGCGTTTGTTATCTTGCAGATTGAACACCCTACCGAGACTCATAGCATACCGAAGGCCCAACATCACTAAGTTGAGCGGGAAAGTGCCGAATCATTTTTCTGCGTCAACAGTTTGGCGTCGTCTGTGGGAAACGATAAGAATCGACCTACAATTCCTAAAAAAACACATGGGAACCACTTCAGGACCAACGTTCTTATCGGAGGATGGACTACCGTACGGAATACCAAGCGGAGCAAGCCCGCGCTGCACCCTAGTACTCCCTTCGGTAATCCTCCGGTGATCCAGACTATGGTCGAAGCGGAGCTTCTGGCTCAAATGATTTCCCTTCGGAAGGAAATGGCCAAGCTCCAAGAACATAACAATCTCCTCTCGTCCAAACTAAAAGAAA